GTTTGCGGTCGATGTGGTGCTGTCGGCGCTTATTCTGGACGCTCAACAACAACGAGATGAACGTATTCTTCAGCTCCTTCTCGAACTCGAGCTCATCCCTGAGCGCCAACTCATTGATCAGTGTCTCGGAGTTGTGTTGTATCATACGCTCCAACTCGACGTACAACTCGTTCAACTGAACCGATGAGTAGGTCTTCAGCTTCTCTTCGTAGAGGAGGGCCGCTATCGAGTGCTTATCGTCGGCCGCTTTACCACCACTGGTGGGCGACTTGTCAGTGGACGCGGTGTCCGAAACGGTACACCCGCTGGACGTGGACTCCGACTCATTCATCATAATCTCGTCGATCTCTTCGAGCACCTGTTCGGCCGTGAAGATGGGCTCCTGTTGTAGACTCGCCAGTATCAGCGAATGCATGTCCAGCTCTTTGGCCAACTCTTCCTCATCGCACGTCGGGTCGAAGAGATCGGCGTTCGGGTTATTGTTGGCTGCGTTTGTCGCACGCATTTGCGAGGCGTTTATGTTGAGCGCCGGTAAGTGCAGACTTCGGGCGTATGTTTTGCTCCAATCGATGGGCAATATATTGCCGTAATTGCCGGTCAGTGTCCACCACATCCTAAACACAAAGACATTAGTCATCGATTCAATGGATACCACCAACTGGTGGATCAGTTAACAACACACAACACTTACTGAGACTCGTTGATAACGTCCTCCTGAGACCTGACCTGAACGGGCGCTAAATTAGACACATTCTCGTCGTAATTGCGAAAACATTTAACGATCTTCTCGTCAAAAGTGTTGACCAAATCCTCGAGTGATCCCGAAAACGGGGTTTCACTCGAGAGTGTGTTATTACCACTACTGTTGTCCAACTGTTCCCTACGGGCGGACTCGTTGTCCACCACCGGTTGGTGGCCGCCATTGAGCCTCTGCTGAGCCGATATCTGTGCGTTCGAGTTGTTGTCGATGTCTTCGGAGCACTGGAAGTCCCCGAAGTCTTCGGTGATGGCCAGCGGGACGTCAACACTGCAGTTGTATTCAGACATTGTGTCTTCAGCGATGGGAACCAATTGATGTGATCACCGCAATCGATGGCTACAATCCTTGCGATCACTGCCACAACCAATGGGTTGAGTGGATTCACTGGTGAGACATATCCCGTGTCTTCTTGTGGTGGGTATACCTCCGGAGCGAGCGATCACTGAATGTGTAAAATGTGTGACAATTTGTGTCTATGTTTTGCTGCACTAAAGGGTGGACTCAATGCAACACTTATATGGGATACGTCCCGACCAGGGGTTGGGCACTTGTTTTGGGGGACTTACTATAGTTGTTATCATTGTTTATAGCCATTTAAACCAAGATTAATTAAATTTAAACTAGTTCATTCATGTTATTTGTATACAATTATAATATTTTGTTACTTATTATGGTAATAATTTAACTGATCCAGCTGTTTTTCAGTTGACAGCACCCCCTGTCTGCCCCCCATAGCCCTGCACTGACTCATATGAATGCCATTAGCGTTGTCTATGCATTGATGGGTTGTTTAGTAAAGTATTACTATAGCAACGACTCAGTGGCGGACCCTTTCATGGCTTATCGCCGACGAGAAATTAATATCAAATTAGTTATTGATTTTAAATACAATTACTCTTTATATTTAATATTGATTTTTAATTATAGTTTTAATCGTTTTATTATTATAATGTAATTTCAGGGATAGTTTACCCATGATTTTCATTGTTTTAATGCAAATACAGATTTATTTCAATTACTTTTTGAGCAATAAATAACTTAAAAGCGTAAAAACAAAAACTTTTTTCCTCCCATTTGTTCAGCACTTTATTTAATCAGTAATTGAATTAAAAATGTATTAAAAAGTCTGACATTATATGCATTGAATGACAGCGAAAGGCTTGATAATACCATAATGTTTTAACATTAGTTTATTGGGTAGTTTACCATCTAGTTGTCAAATGCCATACACATTGCGCTGACATTTTCACTGATGGTAAACTTTTGTTCAGCTTAACCATCCATACATCCGCTGTTATATCATTATATAATACAGACAACGAGTTAATTATCTCATATATTCCTATAGATAATGAAATATATGCACAATATATTTGCTATCAATTGTTTGTCTCATCTTTTTTTGGGTAAACTTTTTTAAT